TATGTATTATCTATTTTTAAACTATATTATCACTATTTTTGAACTATGTATTATCTATTTTTAAACTATATTATCACTATTTTTGAACTATTTATTAGCTATTTTAAACTATATTATCACTCTATTTGAACTATTTATTATCTATTTTTAAACTATATTATCACTATTTTTTAACTATTTATCTATTTTTAAACTATAATATCACTATTTTTGAACTATTTATTATCTATTTTTAAACTATATTATCACTATTTTTGAACTATTTATTATCTATTTTTAAACTATAATATCACTATTTTTCAACTATTTATTGACTATTTTAAACTTAGTTGAAACTCATTTCAGCTATTTATTACATATTTTTTACCTATATTGTCACTATGTTTTAACTATTTCATACATATTTATTAACTATGTCGAAACTATATAATTTTAATAATTTCCTTAAATAGCTCTATTTTTATCATATTTGAAACCTATTTAATTTCTATTCGAGTACATCAATTAAGTATTTGTTTAGAAATATATCATGAATAGGAAAAAAATATGGTTCCACTTGGATAGGAAAAAAATAGCTTTTCTACCCCCAATTTAAATAGGAAAAACCTCGAAAAAAAATAATAGTAAAAATAGGAAATAAATACTTTGACAAATAGGAATTAAATAGCCCAATAAAATAGGAATTAAATAGCAATTAAATAGTGTTTGGTTCTACAAGGGTAGCTCTCTTGGCACTCTTCACCAGGGATTCTACAGCTCCTTGGTACCAAGGACTATCAGCGGGGCCGAAGATCCAGGTCAACCCATTCTCTGTGCCACTTTTATGTAGGGATTGTCGGTCAATGCTCTTCCAGGTTTCCGTGAGTTCTCTTTCCGCACCAATTAGTTGTGATCCGGGATCACTATATATGATTTCGGGCCAACCACGAACGCTGACGAATCTGCTGAGGGCCATTAGGAATGATTCGGTATCGTACCCGAACACAACTTCAATGTGGACTGCTCTCATAACTAGATCTGTGAAGATTACTCCGTACGCTTTACCACTTGTTCTTTTCTGTACTTCTCCACGAACCGAGTAGGGTCCGAAAAGGTCTATCATAACGTGGTTGAAAGCTGGAGATGGTTTCAATCTTGCTTCCGGTAATTGTCCCATTTGCTGCTCGAGGAACTTTGCTTCTCGTAGCTTGCACATCTGACATTTACTCTTGATTGATTGAGCGAGTTTGCTTCCTTGGGTTACCCAGTAGAGTTGACGGAATCGTGCTAAGGTTGCATCACGCCCTCTATGACCAGAAGTGTGAGCTCGTTGCATGAAGAGTCTGGTAACATGATGTCGGTAGGGCAATAGCTTTTGCAGCGAAGAATCCACTGTCATGGGAGTTTTGTTCTTCAGGCGCTGTCCCACTACCCAGAGTCCACTTTCATCTTGGACTGGATTCAAACAAGCGAAACGACCACCTTTTCTGCCTTTGCGGTCAGTTTTTGTCAGTTCACTTTCAAATGATTTCTGAACTTCTTTAACCATAAAGTTCTCGGCTTCTTGTAATTGCTTAACCGAGATGGACACAGTTCTTCCGCCTTTAAAACGTTTCTTCTTCGCAATGTTTAGCAATCTGGCGACGACCCAAATAGCTTTGTTGATATTGCTGAATCTTTCATAGTCGATCAACAATGCCTCTACGCTCGCTGCTGCTACAACATGGACTTTCTTTTCACCGGGGAGTGGTTCTTTCTTTGGGTTAAACTTTAATCCCCATTCTTCTATCGGTCGGTATAGAATCGGCGGTCCGTTCCACCAATGAGAGTCGTTGTTCAGCTCCTCTGGTGCTCTGCCGCGTGTCAACCAGTCAGCTGTATTATGTTGGCCAGACATCCAAGCCCAGCAAGTCAGATCTCCTTCAGTTGCTGCTTGAATTTCTCCGATTCGTACTCTCTCGTAAACTTTGAAACGTGTGCTTGTCTTGTGGATCATACTCAAGACTGTTTCTGAGTCCACGATTTGTAAAACTGTTTCGAAGTCGAACCTCATTTCTTTCTCGATGACCTTTCTTCCTCTTTTCGACAGAACAGCTGCGTTTAACTCCATCTGAGGGGTAGATAACTTATTGATTGGAGCAATACGACACTTCGCCATGATCAACCTACACCAGTAGCTTCCATCATCCAATTTCCATCGAATGTAAGCTGCAAAGCCATACGCGAGATCACTACCATCGCTCAAGATTATTAACCAAGGGCGTTCATCACTATTCACAGGTCGTAAGCATCGCTCCAAACACAAACGCTGAAGTTTGAAAAGAGCAGTGAAGAAATTGGACCATTTGTTGCAAAGTTCTGCTGGAAGTGGATCATCCCATCCGAGCTTGCGGGACCAGCTTTCGCGTAAGTATATCTTGGCCATCAATGTAAATGGAGAAATCAGTCCGAGTGGGTCATAAATCTTCATTACTTGCTCAAGAACGATTCGTCTGGTTAACACATTCGGTAATGCACTTGGTAGGTCGCTTTCTAGCAGGTTTGGATCGGTTCGAACTCCGCGTCTCTTGCTACTGAAATTCAAAGTTACTTCATAGGTGATGGTGTCTTTCTTCGGGTTCCATCCCAGACCGAGCACTCGTATGTTTTCGTCAGTTCCTTTTAACATTATTAGTCCTTGGTCTGAGCTTTCAACACTCTTTTCTGGCAGGTCCAATTTTAACAATTCTTCTTTCACGCGAGGTTGTGTTTCGCCACTAAATTGCCAGCACTTTACAGCAAATCCTCCTTTGGCAAGGATATCCTCGGCTTCCTTGGCAATCGTTAACGCGTCGGGTTTACTTAGACGTGAGTCAATCAAATCATCCACGTAACTGGAATGTTTTAGGAGATTTGCGGCTTGTGGACTATCCTCTTGATACAACTCCGCGGTCTTGTAGACAGCTTCTGTGCTGATGGCGGGGCCTGGTGTATCGCCCATATTGACTCGTTGTATTACGTAAATGTCCGGTGGGCGATGCTGCTGTAAATCTCGCCATAGGAAACGGTGGCAATGCTGTTCCAAGGCCTTCAAATAAACCGAGTTGAACATCTTTCGAATATCAACCAAGTTGTTCATGTAGCTGTCTGGACCTTTTGCGAGACAATCATTTAATGAAACACCTTTGTGCGTTTGGCTGGAGTTGAACACAATTCTCACGGGCGTAGAATTGGAATGCGGGTTAACAACTGCTAAATGGGAGATATAGAACACCGGGCTAGTCCAGCTCTTTACTTCTTCGGATGATAGTTTTCTTGCTACACAACGATCGACCATATCGTCCATTTGGCTCTTGTACGTCTTAGCCCATTGGTCATCTTTCTTAAGCGTTCTTTCAGTTCTTTCTAACGTAGCAAGTGCTGTGTGATAATTGTTGGGTAAACTTTGTGGATCTACGAGCCAGGGATAACTGGTTATCCAGCATTGGTTAACTTCGTACTCGAGGTTTTCTTGAATCAGTTTTAATTCCTGTTCTTCCTTGAAAGAGTAAGTGTGTCCGACAGTAGGGCACTTATTACAGCGACATCCACCACATTGTGGAGAAATTTCGGTGGCAAGTTCTTCTCCTTGTACAAAATTGTCAATCTGACTTTCGTCCTTTCGGTGACTATAGGAACTCGATACATTAACAGAACATTCTCTGGTATGGTTGGAATGGAACTCTGGATGTGAGTCCAAGCGTGTCTTGTATGTCTCCACTTTCACGTTCACATCGTGTATTTTCTTTGCGAGGTTGGTGTCATATCTTGTTTCTTCGATCAGATCTGGATGGGCGCCTTGGAGGCAAATCCCCAATGCTCCATTCATGATACTTAGATTGTCGCCACATCTAGCTTCTTCTAGCTTTGGATGGAGACCGAAGTAATCACAGCCCAGCAGGACATCCACGTGTGTTGACTTTCGCTGGAGTGTTTCAGGATCATATTCTGGAAATAACTTTACCAGGACTTTAGGATCCAGTTTGCTTACTTGTCCAGTAATTCGCTCCATGCCAAAGGCCGTAATAGCGACTTTCTTTCCAGCACTTGTGTTAATTGGAAACTCGTATTGCCACGTGTTATACGTTTTCTCGACATTTCCCATAGTTGTCACGTCAAGAGAGAGTTTTTTAACTTTCTTTGCTTTGATTCTTTCCTCAACACGATGAGTGATATAACTTGCGTTAGAGCATCCATCACAGAAGACGGACACTTTTCTACCACTGTCGCTAATGGTCGCTTGGTGGATAGGGTATAATGCCATTGAATCACTTTCTACGGTATAGGATGCTAATTCCTTGTTTCCATCATCTCCAGTTTTCGATTTCTCCCCGGAATCTTTTGGGAGCTTTGGTGGGATGCACAGCAGGGAATGATGTTGGTCACTTCCACATGAGGAACATGGGAGTTTTTTGGGGCAGTTAAGCTTCCTATGATTACCAAAACATTTGAAACAAGCGTTTACCTGCTTCAACAACTCATATCTGCCATCTTTACCGCTGATGGACAACTTCTGGAATTCTTTGCACTGTTCGGTGGTGTGATTTATGGTGTCTTTTCTGTGGGTGGGGAAAGCACACTTGTAGTAGGTCTTTGTCCGTGTTTTGCACCTCTTTCAACATGATAGGTTTTGCTGTACCCTCTTGCATTGTCATTTCCTCTTTTCTTAGAATGCTGATTCTCTGCTAAACGAGCCACAACTGAACGTTCTCTGTCTAGGAACTTCATTAGCGGAGTAAATGGTTGAAGCTTCTCGGCAGACGATAAATCACGATACTTTCGTCTCCAGTCGACTTTAAGATGGGTAGGTAACAAATCAGTTAGGTTGTCTACATCTCGCATGGTTAAAGTGTTTAGCTGGTTGAGCTCTTCCAATTGACTGTAGGCAGATTCAACTTCATCAACTAATTCAACCAGAGCTTTATAATCTTCTTCTTTTACAGGTTTTAGCCTTTGAAGATCTTCCAAAGCAGCTGTACACTGGCAGTGGTATCTCCATAGTGACACTCTAGCTTTTCCCACATGATGTCGTAAGCTTCGGGCTTGGTGACAAAAACAGATTTGATGCGGTGTTTGGCTTCTCCTTTAACTGAGTTCTTAAGTTCGTGTGCTAATGCAGTTTTATTATAACTTGCAGACTCAGCCATAGACTTCCAGACTGCCTTGAACTCTGGCCAGTCTTTCCTAAGTCCGGAGAATGTGGGTAGGGCCATCCTTTTTAGCCGAATGGTGGAATCTTGGTGGGAAGGTCTTGTATTAATCAACGGGACTGTGGGTTGATGTCCAGATGGGGTTGTATACATAGGACTGGTTGACAAATTGCTCCTGGTCTGATTGTGGTTGCTATAATAGCTGGATGCCACTCTTGGCAGATTTGATCCCATTGGCATTGCAAATGCAGGGAAACCTGTTGATAAATTTGTAGGATTCTGACATTGCTGAGACAAATGCGTTTGTCCCGATGTGGAACTGCTTTCCGAATGAAAGGTGGTAGAGAGAATGAAGGTTTGAGCTGATGTATTCAAGCAAAAACCCGTACTGGTCCCAGGTAAGGTTGGTAGGGGGGTGTTGGCCTCTGTAATGCTGGTGGTAACTTGGGTGCCAAAGGGACTGGAGTAATTAAGGGGGGAAACGTTAATTGGCAACATAGGTGGAATTGTGTTGGTCTCGATTGCAGGGGTGTCAATAATTTCAGGGTGGGTTGCAGTATAAATGGGCTCAGGGTGGGATATTGGTGTTGATTGCCGTGGGGGAAGTGGTGCTGATGGTCTCACGGGGGGTGTTGGTTTCTGGGGGGGACATGGTGTTGATGGTCTCAGTGTTCTCAGGGGGGTGTTGGTGTTGATTTCCGGGTGGAGACATGGTGTTGATGGTCTCAGTGTTCTCAGGGGGGTGTTGGTGTTGATTTCCGGGGGGAGACATGGTGCTGATGGTCTCAGTATCCTCAGGGGGGATGTTGGTGTTGATATCCAGGGGAGACACTGTGTTGATGGTTTCAGTGTTCTCAGGGGGGGGGGTGTTGGTTTCAGAGGGGAAAGTGGCATTTTGAATGTGTAATGATTTAACAAATGCTTGTTGCTCATGCAAAAACAAGTTTATCTTTCTGATGCAATTGTAAACTGTTCTGATAATAGTATCGACTTCTTCTTGGATTAAGTTAACTTGCTCTTGTGTTTCAATCGAGCCAAGTTTTGCCATGTTATCACATATTATGTTCAAAATTGACTGTAGATCACTCTTATCTAGTTGTAAAGCTGCCATATTCACATTTTCCAGTTTGAAACTCTCATCAACGACTGTGATTAGTTCATGAATTCTACAAATGTCATTCTTTAGGGCAACTTTGACAGGCCCAGCACTTTGCTGTCTAGCCTTTTGTTCGATTGTTGCCTTTACACTAACAAATACACTCCTAGCTTCTTGATAGCACCCTTTTACATTGTCTCTGTAAGTCCTAATGTCTTCACCATTAACTACACGGTGTTCAGCGTATTTTTCGTCAGATACAATAAGTTCGTATTCCTCATTTATAACGCAAAAATCATCAAATACCTTTTCAAGTTCGAACATTGAATCCTTTAAAATATCATATTCACAATTTCTGTTGTAGGCTCCGATCAGACGCCTCGCAGCGACAGTGGCCGCCATTTTAGCCTTGCTTCTTTCTTGTTTTTTATCTTCAACATTCATGGCTGATTCTTGGATTTGTCTTCAAGCAATACACAAGTTTTGGGCTGCAAAACTCCTTTGTATTTAGGCTTCTTCACAATTCTGGAATGCCACAGCGAACGTTAGTGTTTTACTGTACTGGGATTGCCAGTAAATGAGGCGAAAAACAGGTTTCAACTCACTTTAATTATCAAAATATATGGAAAATTACAAAATAGTAAATTTAGGTAAAACACTGTTTTCCTTCGCACGCCATCTTAGCTCTCATGCGCATGCTCTAACGAAACGTAAATAAACATCGTCCAAAAGGCGATCGCAGAGAGATTATTGTCTACATCCCAATACAACAATAAACACAAAGCAACATTTTTGTAAACACTACGTACAGCGTTCAAGAGAGCAAATTGACTATTGAGTATATTGATTCTAAGCAAACCGTGTCTCAATATCATGCTATTCTATCAAGTTGCTAATAATTTTAAAAAGTAGCGAATAGCGATTTCCTGTTTGAAAAGTAGTCAACTACTTGGCTACTTTTGGGCAAAATGTAGTTCGCTATGACTACAGCTACTGTTTTAAAAAAGTAGTCAAAAACTATTGGCTACTTGAAAATTGTAGTTCGCTACAGTAGCGAACTACAACTACTTCGCTACTACACAGGGCGAAAAGTGTTTGACAATGCATCTGGACTTTCAAGCAACATGCGCGCTATTAATATAGATGTGTATTCTCATCTCGAAGAAAACTGGTGGAACTTGAAAAAATACATAAACTGTATCGACTGGTGGCAGTGGCAGAGATTCACTTTTTCTGGTGGGGGGTGGGGAAGTATTTCCGACAAAACTTTCAAATTTCCGACCCCCCCGCCCCCATTATACTCGAAAGGGCTGTTTTTAGCCCTCTTTTAGGTCCAAATGTCCGAAAATTCGTCATTTTTTTGAAGGTGGGGGGGGGGGGCGGTCGCCCACCAAGAGTTCCGCCGCCAGTGTGGTGGCATATCAGCGATGTTCTCGCGGGGTTTTCCAGATTGTGGGTAAAATTCCCGCTTGTGTTTGTTCAAGAATACCAGAACGGATTCGCGTCGCGTGATGCCTGATGGCCTTTACACGCATTTTGAACATGATGTAGATCAATTAATACAGAACCGCAAATAGGAAGATAGAATGAATCCTAGACGTGACTGAGAGAAATAACTTTCTGTGGTTAAAACATGACTTGTGAACTAAAATATATTTTGCGCTTAGTTTTAGATATTTAGTTTCGCCTTTCCAAAAAGCAATGTCGGTATAAAATATTTAAGAAATAGAAAACATTTTCCGTGATTCTATAGAGTTATAGAAACACGCGTGAAAGTTTGGGAGAAACGAAAAATTGCGTGGGAACACGTGCGAGTGTTTCCACGCAATTTCGATTTTTCTCCCAAACTTTCACAAGTGTTTCGATAAACTCTGTAGGAACACGGAAAAAATGTTTTCTATTTCCTTTATTAAACAGCCTTTTAAAAACAATAGAAAAGATAAATTTATTGATTTTAATTGCTTTCATTCAAATATTAATTCCACCTTAATATACGTTCGTGTAATGAATAGTTATAAAAGCATAGCGAAGTAAACAAGTATATCCTCGAGTATATCGCTGTCAAAACAACAGACAGGACTTACAGTGCGTCTACAGTAAGGGGAATCCCGAAACATCGAGTTGGATTCGAGTTCGAGTTCGAGTTGGACTTCGAGTTAAACTTCGAGTTACTTATACACTGGCGTTTCCGAATGTTCCGGTAATTTCCGAACAACTCCGATTCATATTTGCTTCTTCGCAACTTCAAACACGTGTTATTACGTTTATAAATATGGAGAATGAAACGTAGTAATGTAAATT